TCACTTCCGATCGGTGCCAATAGGCCGCCGCTATCCGTGGAGCCGTTTCATTCAACAACAGGAGCTAATCGGATCAAGTACATATCATATAGTCTCCTAATGTCAGAATATCCTAAAGCGCCGAGGGGAATTCGATGCTCTCAAGAATGGCTGGTCCACAACAAACCTCATTTTCTACTGGAGCCATCACCTCCCATGGCGTATTTTGATTCCACTCCTCCTCAGGTTACTGCTCGTGCTTTTTAGTTGGAAGCATTTCCTTACCAGAATTGAATCGGGTCCTTGCAGAACCCATTGAGCCAGCCACCTCCTCATCCTCGTCCTCTCTTCATTTTCCCCCCTTTTCTTTTCTCCCTTCGCTAGGAAATTTTCCCGGGCCAGTTTAAACCCTCCCTGGCGCACTGGTTCATCAGTCTCCTCGAGCGCAAGGGCAAGCTGCTGCGTAACTACACTCAAAATATTGACACCCTGGAGCAGCAAGCCGGCATCTCCCGCATCATTCAGTGTCATGGTGAGTTCCTGCTTCGCATGCGCATATCCTTGCACTACTTCTTTGAAGTACCCATCTTTTTCTCAATGGTTGCATTTTACAGTAGATTATGTGCCTCAGGCGATGTTAACCGAAATTCTGACATGTGTAAAGAAGACAAAGAGCCGATCACTGGGACAGCACTTGTAGTAGTCTGAGCTTTCGGCTTCGTACAGTAGGCCATCGTCAGAGAAATTGAGAGAACGCCAAGCATTGGCATGTTTTTGTAGTCCAGCTACGAAGAAGTGGAGAGAGGGAGGGGTAGGATTCTTGATTGGTTGGTTCCACGCAATAAATGGCCGGATACGACGATATATGAATGGACATTTGCCGGTCTTCAAAATTCTCATAATTAGGACCTTTTCTAATCAAAATATGCCCTTTGAGTGTTCAGTATCAATATCAGTTTATTTAAGGGCTATATAGGTAGATTGCCTTTGAGTTCCCTATTTGTACATGTGTGTCACGGTAGCAAAAAGTGGTATCATAGTTTGTTGGCGAGGCCAATTGTCCTGAGCCATGAGGTGGTACATCGTTTTTTTTGAGCAGACAGTGAAAAAAACTTCTTGCTATTTTTAGGAGAAAAACTGTCGCTCTTCGTAGAGGAAGAATCTGATGGAGTATGAGGTTTAGAAGAAAAAAACGTACGCTCTTGGAGGGACGGTCCAATAGGGGGAGGGGAGGTCATCGGGATCATTAGCGAGTGCGGAAGATGCGGCCTGACACTTCCTCGATAATTGCAGAGTTCACTGACAGGTTGGAAAAACAGGAATATCTGCCTAGGTCGTCGGCAGTCTGCTGCGGGTTGAAACAATGGTGAGTGTTTAGGCCGCCAGGTTCGCCTGATGCGATCACTGACGGGGTCATCACGGTATGCAGATAGCCAACTACGGAAGACCGCTGATATGTTGTATATGAAGAAAACGCAATTCTCTACCAAATGAGAACATGTGAGTCCCGGGAAGTAACTGAGAGGAAGTGCATGTGATCGCTGAGACAATAATTTTATTCGCCTGAAGTTTCGAAATTCGTCGCAGATCCACCACCATCATAGACAATAACAGAAACGACTATTTCATAGACAGAGAGTTGTAGGATTCAGTCACTACGCTACTGCATACCCATGACAAATTAACGGTTCTCCCATCGGGAATAGTTGCCCGCTTGTGCGCTAATTGCTTGATGGCGGACGTGCGGGTCCTGACCTGGTGAACTTTCATCACCTGTGATGGACTGAGGCGTTATGCTGGCTTGGTCATCTGGCTCTCTGGCGCTGGCGTCAGCAGACACGTTGGTCTGTGCGTTTCCCGAGTGCCGAATTGCTCTGACCAAACTGAGCCTCAGCACAGAATATGGATTGGGCAGGTCGTTGCACTTGTGCACAACGACTATCCTCGCTAGGGAGAGTCGTGAATTTGTCATAGGTATGTATTAG